GAGTGGGTCTGTTAAAAGGAGGACGGACGCGGATGATGCCTGCATTAAGGACAGAGCTGTAATTGGCAGCGAGAGAGTGGAACCGGCGCGCACACTTCAAAGGGAAACAGGAATCATTTTCACCAGTGAATGGATACAGTTGTGGGTTGGGGTTTTTTTTTGAAGCAGTTGCTGTCTGTTTCCCCAATCAGCAGACTGAGGAGCCACAGATAAGGCCTGGCGAAAGGGACGAAGTGACCAGTCTTAAGGATCTGTTTGGATAATTAATACATTGGGCACTTCTGGAAGGCGCTTTTCAACCCATGGGACTGCCTAGTGCAGGGCTGGGCAAGATGCGGCCTGGGGGGCTGGATGTGACCCGCCTAACACTTTGATCTGGTCCATGGATTGCATCTGGCCGCTTTCTATTTACATCCTGCTGCCCATGCCACTGAATTTCCAGGGGGTGGCTCAGGCAACAGGATCCTATTTAAAGGGCTCATGAATCTTGGTTGCAGAGGGGCTGGAACTGTGAACCCTTTCAATAGCCACAGCCGCCCTGGGTGGTTGCAAGGCAACGTGGTAGCAGCAGGGCAGGGGGCTGTGAGCACTTTGCTGTGTTTTTAATTCAAAGCCTCTGGCCCCAGACAACTCTGGGGGGAGGCTAATCCCCAGTCCCACCCCTTCTACCCCAGACACAACTCCTTCCAGGGGTGGAGCCGGCTCATGGCCATCTTCCAAAATTCATTAAGTGGCTCCTCTGAGAAAATTAACTGCCCCAGATAGGCAAATACTTTCATGCCATCTCAATGGATCAGCAAACTGAGACATGCCCAAAGTCACGCAGCATGTCCGAGAACCCAGAAGTTTATAGAGTCATAGAATCATAGGGCTGGAAGAGACCTCAGGAGGTCATCAAGTCTAGCCCCCTGCCCAAGGCAGGACCAATCCCAACTTATTTGATCTCAGATGCTTATTTGATCTCTTGGAATCTCTCAAGTCTGATGTCAAGTATCAGAGGGGTAGCTGTGTTAATCTAAATCTGCAAAAGCAATGAGGAGTCCTGTGGCACCTTATAGACTAACAGATTTATTGGAGCATAAGCTTTCATGGGCAAAGACCCACTTCGTTAGTCTATAAGGTGCAGTCTGATGGATGCCTCCCAGGGCCAGACTTGCAGAGAAACGTCAGGTCAGACATAGGTTGAGAACAGCATCTCTCGTGTGTGTTTCAGCCTCTCTCCTAGCAAGCAGGCTAAAACCAGCGAGCAGACACATTTTAAACAAATGAAAGCTAAGGAGCAGCTCCAAAGCTCAGCAAAGGATTGGTTCAGGTTTGAGGTAGTTCTGGTTCACACAGTGGAGTTACTCTGGCTTTGCATAACTGGGAAGAAAATCTAGCTCTAAAGTCTGGGATGCCTGTCGGGCTGTAATAGGTTCCTGGCTACTGTTAGGCTCCGTGTGGTAGGATAATTCCCGTATCAGGTTTGAATGTTGTCTATGACTCGTCTGCGCAGACCGATTGGTGCTGCCAAACAGCCAGCTACGTCTACACTGGCCCCTTCTCCGGAAGAGGCATGCTAATTTCGAACTTTGGAATAGGGAAATCCGCGGGGGATTTAAATATCCCCCGCGGGATTTAAATAAACATGGCCGCCGCTTTTTTTCCGGCTTGGGGAAAAGCCGGAAAAGAGCGTCTAGACTGGCGCGATCCTCCGGAATAAAGCCCTTTTCCGGAGGATCTCTTATTCCTACTTTCGGAATGCCTCTTAGCATGCCTCTTCCGGAGAAGGGGCCAGTGTAGACGTGGCCGAAGGGTGTTAACGCTACAATTTCCAAGCATACTTCAGTGTTGGGATTGTGTGTGTGGGGGGGTCTAAATAGCCCCCCAGTGAGCACAACTGTTACCTTCCAAGATCTTTTAGCCAGTTATCCAAGGCTAATGAAATGCCAAATTGTTGTGCCATATTAGACCCTCGGTGTTACACATGCCCAAGCATTTCCCAGGCTGCTGTGATCTGACAAGAGGGATGAGCATGAATGGGACCTAGTTCCAGCTGCAGGGAAGCACTGTACAACATGAAGTGGATGGGGATGCATTTTGCCAGGACGCTGAGACGAAAGATTCATTGCAAAATGTCCTCCAGCAGACGCGTGCCGTGGTCGCGCACACTCTGTATTGTAAATGCTGCGGTTATGAGCTGGAGTCAGCTGTGTGATGGGTGAAATTAAAACCTCATTGAAGTTAAAGTGCGAATTTACCCTTCCCTTAGGATAGCCGGGAAATGTGTTTGGTGTGAGAACCCACCCAGGGGTTCTTGGACAGCAAGCAGAAGGGTTTTGCTGATTATTGGTTGTTGGCTGGGATGGGGGGAAGGTGTGAGCTGAACACACAGAAACTGAGAACAGAGAAAGAGAGGCAGAGGCAAAAAAAAGCAAGAATGCTCAGCAATATACAATAGCAATATTCACCCCAACTCGACATACAAAATAATGGGGACTAATTTAGAGAGAGATCTTGAAGATATTGTGAATAGTTCTCTGAAAACAACCACTCAATATGCAACAGCAGTCAAAAAAAAAAAAAAGCAAACAGGGTGCTAGGAATCATGAAAAAAGAGATAGAGAATAAAACAGGATATCTTATTGCCTCTATAGAAATCCATGGTACGCCCACATCTTGAACACTGCCTACAGATGTTAACGCCTTAACATCAAAAAAACATATCTTGGTATTGGAAAAGGTTTGGAAAAGGGCAACCATAATTAATAGGGGTTTGGAATGGGACCCACCTGAAGAGAGATTACAAAGACTTGGACTTTTCAGGTTAGAAAAGAGGAGACTAAGGGGGGATATGAGAGAGGTCTATAAAATCATGACCGGTGCGGAGAAAGTGAATAAGGAAAAGTTATTTACTTGCTCACATAATATAAGATCTAGGGGTCACCAAAAGAAATTAACAGGTAACAGGTTTAAAACAAACTAAAGGAAGTTTTTCGTCATGTGGCACATAGTCAACCTGTGGAACTCCTTGCCAGAGGATGCTGTGAAGACCTGGACTTTAACAGGGCTCCAAAAAAAGAATGAGATACATTCACGGAGGACAGGTCCATCAATACTTATTAGCCACAATGGATAAGAATGGTGTCCCTAGCCTCTGTTTGTCAGGGGCTGAAAATGAGTGACAGGAGAGGGATCATCTGATAATTCCCTGTTCTGTTCACTTCCTCTGGGGCACCTGGCATTGGCCACTGTCAGAAGGCAGGATACTGGGCTAGATGGGCCTCTGGTCTGGCCCAGTATGGCCATTCTTATATAATGTTCTTATGTTAATAGCTGGTGAGCACAATGTGTCCATGGAAAAACCTAGAGAGTGCATTTGTGGGTCTGTTAGCAAGAGAGCCGGGGGCTGTAAGCTCTTTTTGTTCTTGGTTCCTCCTGCCCTTGGGGAAGCAGGACTTTGTACCTTCCTTGTAAATAAACAAGATTGCATCCAAGCTAAATACCAGACTTCATCTATTTCTGCTTCTAGCTAGAACATCCCTATGGCCTCTAGTGACTAGATAGCAAGTGTGAAAAATTGGAACAGGAGCTAGGGGATAATAGATCCCTCTACTAGGACAAAGCTCTAAAAACTGGGCCTGTCCCTATAAAATCAGGACATCTGGTCACCCTACTCTGGCCCTGTGATGGATAGGAGGAATGCCAGCCCAGCACCCAGGGTATGTCTACACTACCCCGCTAGTTCGAACTAGGAGGGTAGTGTAGACATACCCCCAGTGACTAAAAGGTTAAACTCAGGTAGCTAGGGGGGTGTTGGCAGAAAGCCAGGAAAGACCATGGGAAAGAGGGTTGAAATCTGAATTGTATATAGATACCTAGCTGCTTCTTCCTGTGTGTAAGGGCTGGAGAGAGCAGCTGCAGGGATCGGAATTACCATGCCTATGAGGGATTTTGGATATGGGAATGAACTGGGCCTTGAAGTACGGACGGGCATGGATCGTGAATAGAGAGAGAGAGGAATGTATGTTTAGTCATGATCAAGGTATTTGTGCTCTCCCCCCATTCACTATTTAAGCTGTACCCAGAGATTCCATGTTCTCTGTGTTCTAATTTGTTTCTCTCGGTTGCTCTGTAACACCTAGCAACCAAGCATGCTTTATTAAGGATATCTTTTGTTTTTGTTAATCAAATCACCTTTTTAAGGCTATGATTTGATTCTTGTGTCCTGGAAGGTAACAGGTCTACATGTGTGGCTGCCTAGCCTGAGAGGTCAGCTTTCAGAGAGACAGTTTGGTTTTGGTTGTTTTTTGTTTCTTTTCTCAAGCTCTCTAGTGGCAGGAGAGCTTGGGGCACCCCTAGGGAAGGAATTCAAGTGCTCCCTCCTGTTTTTTTTCAGGGTTCTTTAAAATCACTTGATGGTGGCAGCTTCTCTTCCAGAGCCCGCGCATCTGTGGCTCTGGGGAGGTTTTTTTGTAAGCAGAGCCTATAGAGGCGAGGTATTTAAGGTCTTTTGCGGGCCCTTTCCTTCTGCACTCGGAGTGCCAGAGTAGGGAACAGCCCTGACAGGCCCCCAAAATAAATGTAACTTGCTACTCAAGTCAGAAAAGCAGCAACACTGTATCTCATGCCATTGACCTGGGATGGGCAGAGCTCCATGCATAACAAAGACAGTTCTGCCTGCAGGACAGGGAGTTAGCATAATTACTTTGCGTCATTTCATCCTGATTCTGTGCAGCCCTTTTCAAACCTCTTGGGATTATTGGCACAATTGACATTTGCATTGTCTTGGCCAGCCCTGTGGAATGGTCTACAGCTATTAATTGTCAGCTAACGAACAGCTCGTGTTGATGAGCAATTGTTCATGTGATTTCTCCCACTGATTGGTCCCTGAGGGCTTAGGTGAAGTTACTGAAACAGAGCGCAGGCCTTATGCTGGTGTTCTGCAAGTTGCTTTCTCTGGTTGGAGAAAAGGCTGAATGGCCAACTGATAGCTCTCCCGTGTTTTTATTCCTCTGCAGGTCTGCATCTTGGACTGTGAAGGGAAGGCCTTTTCAAGTACCGCCTGGGATCTCTGCACCAAAGCAGCTGGGAAGTCGTCCATACAGGTGAGCGCGGACAGCCTGGAAGAAGATTCCTACCAGCCCTTGGAAATGGAAGATGGTGGCCTATTCCGAGGCAGCCGGAGACACCTCAATGACCTCACCAAAGTGGTGGATCTTAGCAAAGTGGAAGGGGAGAAGAGAGTTTCCAAGGTGAGCAGCCTGATCCACCAGCGGGAGGTGGAAGAAGGAATCAGCAACGGGAGTGAGACCCCGCTGGGAGACTTCCAAGAGCAGCCCAAGGATATTTCCAAGCGGCTCGGTGGCTTCCTCAAAGCGAAGTACAGTTACAGGCAGGTGCTGGAACCTGCGGGGCAGGGGGTGCAGAAGCGCTACGGGGGCTTCATTGGAGTCAGGAAGTCAGCCCGGAAGTGGAATAACCAAAAGAGGTTTAGCGAGTTCTTGAAGCAGTACTTGGGCATGTCGCCGCGCTCCAGCGAGTACGACAGCTTAACCAACGACCTGAACGAACAGAACGAGATCTAACCGGAAACTGTTTTCATGTCACTGACACGTAGCGAATCGGTGTAGAACTGCTATGGCCAAAGAAGTCAATCCCTTCCCCGATCCCAAAGAGCCGGTGTTAGGAGTGGTTCCCCAGACACCACTGGATTCATTGCTGCTCAGAGTCAAGGCGGAAAAGCCGGGCGGTGGCTGTTTCTGAATCATCTGCTCTGTTTATGAACTCTTCTCCATTTGCATGGCACTTTTGAAGACAAATGGCCCTGGGCTTACGGTCTGGGCTTACTAGAATGTGAGGGGAGAGAGGGAGTCAGTCTGGTTTCTTTTTCTGCCTTCGGACCAGCTTCCCAAGTGTTTTGGTCCCGTCGGGTGTGTCTACGCTGCAAGGAGACCCCCGCGGCTGACCCATGCCAGCTGACTCCGGGCTCATGGGGCTCCGTCTAGGGAGCTGTTTAACAGCTGCTTAATTATTTAATTGCAGCTCAAGCTCTGAGTCCCTCCCACCTCCCAGGGTCCGAAAGCCTGAGCTCGGAGGAATACGCTGCAATTAAACAGCTGATTAGCCTGAGCCCTGCAAGCCTGAACCAGCTGGGATAGGCCAGCAGCAGGTTTCTGATTGCAGCGTTGACGTACTCTCAGTCACAGGGCTTCATGGGCCCCTCAAAGCTCCGCTCACCAGAGAATTCATGAGCTAGACCATGAGGCCTGTGACTTCCAGGCACCCATCTCTACCTAGGCAGTCTTACTGCATAGCAACCAAGGGATCATCCCTCACTGCTTGGAACCAGCCTGCCCCTGGAGGAGACAATCTGTAGCCTGAGGAAGCTTGATAGATCAGTTGTGTCATGCTCTGCTTCTTCAACTTAGGCGTTTAAAATGTAGCCCTTCCCCACCCACCCACCCCTTGCTTCTCTCCCGGCCCCAAATGGGGGACTTGGTTTATTGCTAATGGATTTTCTTCAGGTGAAAGGTGCTG